TATAATATTTAATAATTATTATTATTAGTAGTAGTATTTGTATTATAATATACTAAATATTATAATTATTATTATTATTTATTGGCTTGCTTTTAGGATGCATTTAGCTTTTTTGCAAAAATGGAAAATTTTTATTTAAAAGAATTTGTAACATTTACAAGAAGTATAAATTTCACCATGAACATATTAATAAATTGTAAAAGTTGCTTGGAAAGCCATCTGAACTACCTTAAACAGCAAGCATTAAAATTACTCACTGCCCTCATGAAACTATTAACTATGAGTTGAAACATCTGATCAACTCATCTGATTTATTTTTATTATTATTCAAATATATTTATTGTAATTCTAAAGTGTATTTTTTCAATTCTGTTAACATGACAGATGGAGGTTCTGCATGCCACAGTGCACTGATCCAACTAACTGAGAATGAAATTAGGTGCTAATATACTGACTGTACTAATCTTGCTGAATTACTTTAAATGTTGTACACTTGGTTTCAGTTCTGGTTCAAGAAGACTACCACAATCAGAACCCTTACCATAATGCAGTCCATGCTGCTGATGTCACCCAGGCCATGCACTGTTACCTGAGAGAACCCAAGGTGATTGTCCCTTTCTTAAATGTACTGTAATTGACTTTTAATGATTACGTGTAGACTTACAGCCGTCTCTTTGTGTGTGTGTGTATCCACAGCTCGCCCAGTCCCTCACATCATTCGACATCCTCTTAGGGTTGCTGGCTGCGGCCACACATGATCTGGACCACCCTGGAGTCAACCAGCCTTTCCTCATCAAAACCAACCATTACCTTGCAGCTTTGTACCGGGTTAGAGTGCCATCCAATGGGATTTAAGCACATCATTAGCTCCACAATCCTCTTTATGTTCCGAGTAAATTACTGTATTCGTAAACACGTCAAAGTCAATCGGCACTGGTGTGTGTGTGTGTGTGTGTGTGTGTGTGTGTGTCGCTCTGTAGAATACCTCAGTTCTGGAGAACCATCACTGGAGGTCTGCAGTGGGACTGCTCAGAGAGACCGAACTCTTTTCCCATCTTCCTGTGGAAGACAGGTCAGTCTCTTCACTTCTTTTTAGCCTAAAGTTCTTTGTTAATAAGTTACGGCTTATTATTCTACAAGCAAGTAATTTTTTAAAATTATTATTTGTTTATTTTAATTTCTTATTTCATTATTTTTTTTAATGATAATTTTTTAAACTTTATTATTGTTATTATTATATTCTTTATTGACTCACTTTTAGGATGGACTTTTTTGCCAAATGGAAATACTTATTTATACATTATTTATAAGAATTATACATTTTATAATCATTTTATTACAATTATTAATTATTATCTATAACAATTATTGTTTTTCGACTCAAAATGGAAATACTTATTTGCATGAATTTATTACACTTACAAGAATGATAAATGTTCTAATCAATTTATAAAAAGTAAAATAAAGGTACTTTTTTTCCTACTGTCTCTTTAAGACTTCTCTATGTAAATGACCTCTGTTATGATAGACTGACTTTAATTGGTGTCTCTAACAGTCTGAGTATAGAGAGGCAGCTGGGGTCGCTCATTCTGGCCACAGATATCAGCCGACAGAATGAGTACCTGTCCCGGTTCAGGACACATCTGGATGAGAACGACTTGTGTTTAGGACACGCTTCTCATCGACATTTCGTTCTGCAGGTGGGAATGTGCAATTCAGTATTAATTTCACTAAAAACAAACATTATGCAGTTTATATAAAGTTTTATATACAGATTATATGCCAGCTTTGACTTAAAATAAAATAATGCATTTGATGTTTGCTTTAAAAAAAAAAAAAAGAGGGAAAATAATAAAAAAATTATAGATAACAAATTAGTTAAATTTATTAAATATATAATTTTATTTTGTTTTGGTCACTATAATGCTGACTTTAATGTACTTGAAGTTTGCAATGTCCCGTTTTTAAGTGGAAGGGCTGCATACCATATTTTTGAATAAAGACAGACACTTTTGGGCTCTTAAAACCAAATTGACGTGTGTTCCAGATGGCTCTGAAGTGTGCAGATATCTGTAACCCGTGTAGACCGTGGGAACTCAGCAAACAGTGGAGTGAGAAGGTCACAGAGGAGTTCTTCCACCAAGGTAGCCAGTTCTCATGATGACCATGCTCTCTCCATGTGCTCTTAGTTCACTGTGTTCAGAAGCTAATCTTTGTGCTCTGTTGTCGTCTTTTTCAGGTGACATTGAAAAGAAGCATAAACTTGAAATCAGTCCACTGTGTGATAGTGAAGCCAACACCATAGCCAGTGTTCAAATCGGTAAGAACCAGAACATTCTCATTTATGAGCTCACCCTGAATATGGGAGGAAAAGAATAATAGTAAAAATAATATTACGTATTGTATGTATATTGATTTAAGGCAAGACACTACAGTTTTTTTCAGACACTGGTAAATTTTCAGATTTTGAGGTATTTTGGTTCAATAATCTTATCTTCTTTCAGACTAGCAGAAAGAAAATATCCAAAATACAGATTTAAGTGTTTGATATATTTCCAAGTTTTATTCTTATTTATGTTCTGAAGGTTTTTAGAGAAGGGTTTGTTCATATATCGATTGATTGATTTATTTCATTCCTAAAAACATGGTGAATTTTCTGGCTGTTGACAGTATTTTCTAATTTATAGAGGAACAAAAAGAGGTCCAAAATTTGGAATTCAATATTAAATTCAGTAAATAAATTAAATTCCCTTTTGTAAAAAATCTTCAACTTTAATGTGTCAAAAAAAGGTATTAAAATGAGTGCATATTTTATTATATAATAAAACATAATTGCACATTTCAGAAAACTTGTAATACAAAACAGTCCACTATATATGTGTGTGTGTATATATATATATATACACACACACACATACATACATATACAGTGTTTGTCTTTTTTGTTGTTGTTTTTATTGTTGTTTATATGTGCGTGTATAAAATATAATAATGTAATAATTATAATTAAAGTACATTTTATTTTTGATTTATCTCTTAAATTCAATAAAATCCCTTCTGTAAAACCTTTAACTCTAATATGTCAACAAAATGAACTTTGAACCTGTCTTCAGAGTTCTGTTCTGGAAATGCATGCAAATGAGTGCATATTTAATTAGATAAAATAATTAAACAAAATTTCAGTCACTTGTAATACTGGACTGTAATTGTACTGTGATTAATAACTGTGATTAAATGTAGTGTCTTGCCTTTTTTATTCAATTTTAATAAAAATATATAATGTATAATATCAAATATATAAATAGTGTATATAATACAGTAATATAATATTACTACAACATAAATATCATATTTAAATAGTGTATTTTTATATCTATACTTTTTGTATTTATTTATTTTTTGTTATATATGTGTATATATAATAATGTAATAATGATATTATAATTATCATTAAAATGAATAATTTTTAGAAGGTCTGGCTGATGTAATGACGTCTCTTTCTCTGCCACCAGGTTTCATGACTTACGTGGTGGAGCCTCTGTTTGCCGAGTGGGTGCGCTTTTCAGACACGCGGCTCTCTCAGACCATGCTCGGCCATTTGGGCCTGAACAAGGCCAGCTGGAGTGCCCTGGAGCCCGAGGCATCGGGGAGCTCCGAGGAGGGGGAATCCGAACCGGGCCGAGCCACAGAAGAGCCCAGTTCCAGAGCCTTATCTCAGGGAAGCCAAGAGTCATGACACCCCAGCGCTCGCAGAACACCTCTACTGCCCCTCAGCCAAACATCTTGCGTCACGCCACCCATCTCCAACCAACCACTGATGATTTGTTTTCTTCTTTTTCGTTTGTTTGTTCATCGATTTAATTTATTTAATTTTAAGCGCTCATTTACCCTTCAACATAGAGCAATACATAGATACCTCATTTGGCTACTGCTGCAATTTTGGTTTCTTTTAATTATTGTGATTTATTTATTTAACCTTATTTGTTTTGGGTTTTTTTTTTCTATTGGGCGTTTTACTAATTCAACTCCGATGCTTTGATTAAAGACTGTAAGGGAATGTGGGGTAGGAAAGAACCCCCTCCTATGGCTTTAAAGTGCCATTTTGAAACATTGAATTGCTCTGAAAGTCATTCGAAACACCTTGAGTATTTAAAGGAGAGGTTTTTACAACCACACCAAGAGACAATGTGTTTGAAACCGAATGCGTGCGAGCGTGTGTGTGTGCCAGTGCTTCTGCAAAACAATCTTCCTCGTGTACAAAAATACAAATGTGAAGAGCCCAGTCCTTTTGCTGCCTCTGAAGACTGTTTACATGTTTCTAACTGAATCATGTTAGTTCTGTGATTATTGCCTTTTAAGCACAGATGTGAAGAACCACTTGTACATTTTTTTTTTTTCCCGAAACCTACTGCTGATGATCAACAAAATCTGTTGGACTGCAACCCTGTCGGCGAGACTCATCAGATGCCATACAAATGCCATTTGTGCTCCATTGCATCTTTCTCTCCCCTGTATTTCAGACAATGTGTTGAAGGAACGTCGCTTCGTGAAAGGTGGCAGAGATGAACCCTTTTGACCATGGAAGGAGGATTAATGTCACGGGACATGTAGCTGAACGGACTCTCCATGGATTTTGCTCAGGGTCTCACCGACCTGCTTATTTAGGAGAAACAAGGAAGTAAAGGTGCCTTTTGTAGGTAGCCACCACACCTCTCTTTATCTCTCCTCTGTATTTTGTAAAGAAAGACAAGTCCTTCTCAGAATGTCTCGAAGCCACTCTCATCTCTTCGGAAGACTGCTACACAATGCCTTAAAACTATGCACAAAGCTAAGTGACCAAACCAGCTTTCGTTTTCATTTTAAACTCATCGCATTGTCTATTTAGTGCACTGTCTGACCCTTTGCCTTTTTGTCGTGGAGAAACCTTTTTTTTAATATATGGAGGAGAATTGGTTTAATGATTTGATTTTTAACATTGAACATTCCATTATTGTGTATGGTTTTGGATTCTGTACAGAACGGACAGTTGTTTTTGTTTTTTTGTGCTTCTCTTGATATTTGGAAAGAGAAGAGGTGCTTTATTTTAGGTGATTTGTATTTTTGTTGTAAGTGCTGTAAGACTGTTGATTTAAGAAAAAAAAACTGTTTACAGTTTGTTGTAACAGCCATTTTGGGGAGACGACCTATGTGTCAAGCCATTTTGTAAAGGCTTTGCCGTATAACCTTTTGATACATGTTGCAGTTGCATTTTTGATGAATAAAACTTCACAAAATGTTTCTACCGGATGGCATGAGCTCATGCTGTTCTATTTGTCCAAATGTAACCAAGTAGAAACCTCATTACAGAAATGAAAAGACACAGATTGACAGTTTCAGGTTTATTCAAGAAATGAAAGTCCATTCAAAACAGTTCTGCAGTGTGAAATTAAATCAACCTATTTAGATAAATGATCACAATCCATAATAAAACCAGAAATATATCTCCGCCAGGAGATTACCTTCAATTCTGAGGTACACCTCCTATGTGCTGGCCATTAAATCCAGTTAGAAATCTCTGAAATCCTGTACTGTAATATAATGCAAATGCACTGACTATTGGTGCACAGCAGACATTTTAGGTATATGTGCAAAAATGCAAACCTTTTAAGGTACAAACACTGTCAAAAATTCTGCTAATAGACTGAAGTCGGCACTGGACTAGAGATAACAAGCTTGACATCATAGACAAACAAAACTACATCATTCAAGTGATTTATTAAACTGGTTGAATAACTTAAATGACTTCCAGAACAATATCATGGAAATGTTCCAAAATAATAAATTAGAACCTAAAAAGGATTTTAAATGAGCTCATTAAATTAGTGAGCAAATACTACTGACAGCACCATCTAAGCCCTATTTATGATGATCACAAAAGTGTGGTTCATAATTGCTAGTGGTCACATGACAGAAAAACCTGAAGTTACTAAAGTTACTAGCAACTATTAATTGTACCTTTGAAGCAGACACAACTTCTGTGCAAATAGGTGTTAAAAATACACCTAAAACTACTGATAAAGAACAATCCATACACTTTGGTGTTTTTGTTTAACGTTATCCCTTCAAATGAGAGGAATCTAACAAGGTCGAATACTTGCACTGTTGACCTTCAACAGACCCAAATAAATCCACTTATAAAATCATACATAAAACCAAACAAAAAGAACAAATTTCTCAGGTAACTGGCATTAATGATGGAACTGGCTGTGGTACGAGATGTACTGATGGAGATGAACTTTTCAAAGTGCAAATTACATAGATATTCAATTGGGAAACCAGACTGACTGCATAGTGTTTGGCATTTGCATGCTCACCTAAAAGAACACTAACAACATTTTGAGGGCTAACAAGAAAAGTTAGCAGGTTAACTACATTAACCTGCTCAGATGAGTAGCTCCATCCTAGCACAGTTTCCTCCTTCCAGTTGACTTTAACATATGTTGGCCAAACTGCAAAAGAAATGGCACAAAATGACTATGGCACTAAAACAAAATAAGTGAGAGATCAGTTTTTCAAGAAATAGAATTTCTCTTACCAGTGGTGTTTCTACGTGGGTCTTATTCTCAGGGGCTGGCAAGTTAAAGTTGCCATCACATTCACTGTCGCTCCGGTAACGGTGAGCGAACTTGCGTTTCAGGGCCTCTGCGATTAATGCTGCAGCATCTGTGGGCTCAACAGGTTTTGGTTTCGTGCCCTCTTGATGACTGGGAACGAAAGGATAATTGAACCTTACTGGTAAGTGTTTAGGATGATGTTTGAATGTCATCACTGTCCAGATTAAGCACTATAACATTTACCTCTTAACGGAGCGCAGCTTCACTTTCCCCATGTCTTTCAGTACGTCTAGCATGTTGGGAAGCTCTGGCTTTTTAGGTGCCGAGTCCAGTACTGTCTTCTGCTCTGCCTTTTTCCCACGGCGCTCTCGGATGAGGTCAATGGCAGAATAGCTTCTCTGCATGCCAGGGGCGGGACACGGAGGAGGTGGCGGAGGTGGAACTGGAGTCATTGGTGGAGCTTGGGGTACGGGGGGACCACCTGGCGCTGGAGCTGAAGCAAAAATTGCAACTTTAAATGGGTAAAAATGACCAATACCAAAGTATTTACTAGCAGAGTGCTATTTTATGTCTTTTGCAAGAACGCCAACACTTTGCAAGCAAACGTGTTGCACATGCCTAACGTTAACATCACCGTGGCATATATTTGGGGCATAAAGAACAACTAACCAGTGTTGTTGTTAAATAAAACTAATCAATCAACAATTAATCAATCAACATTGTAAATAAATATATTTTTTTATATGTTTCCATGTACCAAAGTGTGTGGGATTCATTCATTTTTGCGGTTAAATATAAATAAAAATATTAAAACTAGTGTTCAATTTATTAAAATAAAGCTGAGAAAATCTAAAAATATGAAAATCATCTAACAGCGTTTCTGCAGGTTTTGTGAAGGTAAATTTAAGACCTTTTTAAAACCAACTAAAGACAAAATTATGGAATAAATTGAAGGGGACACAAAGAAATTCATCACAGTTTATTTTTAAAACAAGAACAAATATCTGCCTATGGGTCAGAAAAAGTATTTTTTCAAAGAGAAAATGTATTAAGGGAAAATATATATATATTTTTTCTTACCCATTGATAGACACTTGTTCTTGTTTTGAGCATAAACCCACTTAATTTTGTTAAATTTCTCAGAAAACAAGACTTTATATCTTCATTTTGCATCTGACGTAAATGTACCTTGATTCAAGGAAGTTGAGATTTTCATATTGGAAAACAAAACAAAAACACTGAGTAAGAATTAATTTTTTTTTTGCAATGCATGCAACATTTAATATCATGAATTTAAGACTTTCGGCCTTGATTTTTTGAGAACTTTTAAAACTAGAAAATAAAATGTAAACTACAAATATCAAAACAAAAGCTACTTCAAAATACTAAAATGGTATATACACATAATACTAAAGTAGCACTCCAACTAACCTGTGGACTGAGCACTTTGCTCCTGTGCCTGAACGATCTGTGCAATTTGAGCTCTAAGTTTGGCCAGCTCAGTTTCCAGAGCACTGATCTTCTGAATGGCTTCATCGTTGATGATCGTCTGACTCTGTGGCGCAGGTTCAGCCTGGTGCAAGCTGGGTAACGACCGCCGACGTCTCAGGGGTCTGCACTGCTGGGTGCGAAAAAACAACCCCGAATCCGCCTCAAACCTGCAGAACACACATATGATAATTACAATATTCAAATCTCTGTTTTCTAAATCAATTTAGAAATATTTTTACCTATTCCTGCCAGCACCATCGCTCTCTTCTCTGTCCATCCAGCCCACATCAGCGAGTGTGGCCACAAGCCCATTTGAATTGTTGAGGAAACTCGCTCCTGCAGCGAATGGATGAAGCTACAGGACCCAAAGACAGTTTAAAGGACGGTTAATAATTAGAACACCTGCTCAGGGCACTTTACAAGTCTCACAACAACGACAAACAAACCCTCACAGACACTCGAGCACTCAAACAATGTCAGAACTACAACAGCAGAGCAAGCACCAAATGTTTTCACAGCCACGGCAAAGAAAACAGCACCAGGGAAACCGGTTTAAACATTGCCTAGCGAATAATGAAGCAATTAGAACATCGCAACAGCAGCTTTTTTTTTTTTAAAGAACTCTTGGCCTAGAATTTTCAACAATCCAGAGAACTGACCTAAAGCAGACATGCTGCCTTCCTGACATACAGGACAGCTGGAAGGAAGGGCAGAGAAGAGGGAAACGGAGACAGTAATAAAAGTTTCAAGGTGAATTTAATGTCATCATACTTTTGTTTTAAAGGTTAGACGGTAGGAAAAGGCTACATTAGATATTGTGAGCTGAAACCTGTCCTCGTGATTCATGATTGTTTATTGTCAGCACACTGATGGAATCAAAACAGAACAGGACAGAAATATGATGATATGGGAGAACTGAATAATGAAAGGCCAAAGATGGAGAATGTTACAGGTTTTGAGAGGCAAAAATGCAATAAAAGTGGAAAACACTGATAATAATGGAATGAAAATGAATGAAGACTACCTGAAAATACTAAAATAGAAAACAGAAAAAGACTGAATATTTAAAAACATAACAGGCACTCAAAATCATTTGTAAATATCCTTTGAATTGTCTGTTGAAAGAATTACAAAAAGTTGAGAGATTCTTTTATGTTTTTGACACATTTGAATGAACAAAGACTGATATTTTACCTGAAAATGGACACGAGGGCAGGGTGCTAAGGGAAGATTTGTGGCAATTCTTCTGACAATACTCCTGGATGACCCATAAGGCTTTGATGATGATCCTATAGCCTAAGAGAGATATAAATATAATCATTCTTCTAATCACAGGATGAGTGCAGAGCAAGAAATGTACATATAATTCTGTGCATGAACTTACCAGGTCCATTTCTATCCGTCTATGATTTCCACTCATCTTGTTACTTCACTTACAGATCTGTCTCATCTTCAAGGATCTGTGCTAGGTCATCTTCAGATCAAAACTTAAACTTGTAAGAATCACTTAAATACACTTATATATTTTTATTTAACATGACATCTTTTAGACTACAGTACCCTGGTTTTCCACATGAAAAACGTTATGATCCCTGTAAACTGTCAGTCATTCTCACATAGCAGAAGAGCATCTTGTACAAACGCGTCTCCTCCACTCCTGCTTTCCTAAACAGTCACTTTGTGGCAAACAGACATTGTTCTACGTGATGTTCACCTTGGCATTTACCAGAAAACACTGAGGTACTAAACATTTTGTAGTTGTTTCTTCGTAACGCACCTGAGTGTTTGTCACTAATAGATACCGCAAACAGAGGACTAAGTAGTGAACGGTCTACAAACGTTATCACAAAGGTTAAAGGCGCTAAAACCCAAGCGTTATTGTTTCAGTGTTGTATTAAACGCCCTGTTAGTTGTTTACAAAAGTTGTCGCGATTTCTAATACGACATTACAAGAAAATATCGATGTCTTACCGTGTAAAATGCAGTGTAACAGATTTCCACTGTGTTTTTCCACAGTGCGAGAGCAGTCGTTTGGGAAGAAGGGCGGGACTTAATAATATTGGCCAATGGGGTTTGAGAATATTCTAACAATGGGTGGGTTCTATGAGTATGGAGTCAACCACTGGTTTAGAGTAGTGGATTGACAATACAACTGTCCAGTCATAAGTGAGTTATGACTCACACACACACACACACACACACACACACACACACACACACACACACACACACACACACGCGAGCGCAGATGTGAATTCTATAATATAAACTATGAAAATAATAAAAATTACAATATATATATATATAGATAGACAGACAGACACACATACACACACACACACACACACACACACACACTCACACACACATACACACACAGACACACACACA